TTACAAAGAACCTCTTGTGCCTCAGTGTTTGGTTGGAAGTGATTTGTGTGTATCCCTAATTATTTCCCGGCTGTGTGTGTGTCTGTGACCAGGGCTGTGTGTCTGTCTGCTCCAGCTGCACCTATCTGGCAAACCCAGGTAAAAGGCGGGGGGGGCAGACAAGATCCGCGTGCCTCAACGGGCTGTGAGTGTGTGAGTGAGTGACCATAAGCCGAACCTGGGAGCAGCGTGTGTAACACAAGATTGATAACAATGGCCAGGGGCACCAAGATATCCACTGATAGCATCTGAAGTTCCCAAATTAGATAAAATTAGATTTTAAAAGATTAAATCTCATAAGAGAATGACAAAACCTTGCAAGATTTCTGGAGACATGTGAAATCTCACAATTCTTGTGTAAGTTCTCATGAAAGATGAGATTTTGGATGATTAATTTTTTTGGGTGGGGTTGATAAAATCAATGTTTCAATTCCTTTAGATAAAACTGCTATTAGCTATCTTAAACAGTTGGGGCCCAATTTACAAATAGCATTTCATCTTGAAGTAATAAATTCACTTCACAAACATGCTAATTTCATACTTTAATAAATTGCATAAAACTATCAAATGTGTAATTTACCTGTTTTGCACTGGTTTCTGAAAGGATAAGTAAATTATTCCTTTAACTTTCAGCTGGATGTCAGATGTCCCGCCATGCAGTGCTAATTAGCAAAATAGGCTGTAGTGCACGCTATCTGCATCAGAACATCAAGTTAGCTTAAGTTAGTTTTCATCTTTCTCATGAGACCAACATCATTCATAAGCAAGCACACATTCAAACATTTACTTCTCAAGATATAACACTGAACCTACATTAATTTCACTAGTCCTTGAATTGTATTATTGCCAAAATATCCTGCCTTTAAGTATTCCATTAAGAATAAGTTAGGACTGTAAGTCATATGATAACTCAATTTGCCTCTTTGTATTTTCTATTTCATCAAGCCAAGGTAGCAGGCAGCTTAGAAAGAATTGATGTCACTTGGTGGCTGAAAGATTACATGTAGTTCAAGACAATAAAACATTCAGTTCTATTATTCTAGAGCCAAAAAATTGAATCTTAGAAGGAGGGTCAAAGGTTGGAAAGAATGCTTGAAAATGAATTTCTAAAAAGCTACAATTATAATTCCTGTATTTTACATTGTTCACCTGACCTCTCATATATATCTATTTTTGTTTTAAAGTTAGAACTCAACTTTCAAAAAACACATGATGATTGTTATAAATTTCAGTTTGTTGTCAATTCAAAATCATATTCAAATAAGCTGTATAACAGCATATTGTCACCCCCCAAAAGCCTACAGAACATTCCCTGGTTCTCCAATAGATCTACAGTATTTCTTTCCTTCCAGTACTAAAAACTCTAGTCATATTAACAGAATTTTGAATGAATGTTGCCCATCTTGGAGGACAAAATAAGAATACAGCAATTAGCATAGTAGGTACAATTAATCCAGGGGCTCATGAACACATTCTATTGTATTCTCTTGATTCATCCAGAGTTTGGTTAGATAAAAGTATATACATACGTACGTATATACATACACATATATACAAACAGTATAAACAATCTGCTTCAATACTGCAGTGCAGTGACAAGCATAACCCAGCAAAATTGTTTGATGCAAACATATTGTTCTTAGGAGAGCCAAGGCCTAGTTTTCAAAACACTGGTGTGAGCCAGCAAAGTTCGATGTACCTTTGACTATAATTTGAAAGAGGCTATCATCTATTGCTATTTAGAGGAACTGAAGAATAATCTTAAACCCAATTGATAATTGAACCTTAATGTTTAATGATACATTTATTGGTGCATGCATATGTGTATACATGTATGTATGTGTGTGTATATGTATATATATATGTATGTGTGTGTGTGTATATGTATGTATGTGTGTGTATGTGTGTGTGTGTGTGTATATATATATACACGTAAGCTGCAGCAAGAACGTTAATGCAACGTTACAGCTTAAGAACATAATCTCTCACATTTTGTGTCAGAGAAATAGAAATCTTTCAGATATTCAGTAACCATTTCCTACTTGAGAACCAATCTTCTCCATCATTTGCACATCAATTACAGTTAACCAAAATCATTTTTTTTGTGTGATGACAAAACACGAACTTATTCTTACTACTGTCATTTCTTTTAAAGACCCTAACATAAACAACATTTTGAAATAAAGTTATCCCAAAGGTGTTTTTAACTACTATATTATTTGTTTTACAGACTACATACTCTTCTACATTTCTTCTAGTTTATCTTTTTGTTTGTAAGCCTTTATTTTATACAACAGGAAAGCATAAATGAATTAATCTACAATGGCATACAGTAATTTAAAAAACCAATATCCATTTCAGAAGCATCACTGACTAGTGAAATATCACTAAAAGATATTTCACAATAAACCTACCAGTATTTAAGATCCCACAAAACTTGCCATCTTTGCTGCAACAAACTAACGCACGCTCTGGAACCTTTATACTACTGCTCTGGAAGTCATCCTTTGAGTTTAATTTGTAATCAAGAGAGACAGTCAAAGTCTTACAAGTGAACTTTTTGTGGATGTGCATGAAGCTTCAAGTGCAATTTTCATTATAGGCAGATAATTTGTGACTACATGTTAGCTAAAATCCAATATTCACTTATCTAAGAGTAAGTCTCACTATACTCAACAACTGTCTATTCCCAGACATGTAAGAATTATATTGCACATACATTAAGGAATTAGTTGTAGCTTAAGTGCTGAATGCTATATATGTACCTTGGCTCAGTGTGAAGCATTATAAAGCAATTATTTTAATAAAAGCCTCTTTAGGTGGTGGTCAGGAAGGAAAGCTTATACATTTTAATTATTATTTATTTCACAATGTTGACAGCCCGTCCCATTCCTAGCAGACTCTTAAAATATTTTAAGCATACTCTCATATGAAAAAGTAAACTTAGCATGCTTAGCATAATTTGTAGTTTTATTTTAAGCATACAAAAAGCACTGCTACATCCTATAAGCTTGCACCAGAAATCAAGTTCTTCAGTTCCAATAACATAATCACACCACAGCTTCATCATAGTAATGATTAAAAGATTTAAAAGAACAGGTAGCTCACTTCTCTGTAAGATGTTCCACTTTGGCAGGTGATTAAATATTAGCATCCTATGGGAAGGGGGGGCCTGCACTGTTGGGACAATAAAGAGCTCTTGACATAAAGAAACTGGCAACAGCTTGGATTCTTGAGAATTTTAAAATAAGAGAGACAAGTTTCCATATTTCATAAACGTTTTAAATCCATTCATTCCAAAAGCCAGATTTAAACCAAAACCCTCCCTCCAGCTTCTTAAGTGACCTTGGCCACTAACTTCCCTTCTTCCAAGCCTCACAGAAACTGCGAAGACTGATACTTTGTAGCTTTTTAAGTCAGGCATCATTAGTGAAAAACTACGTTTTTCACAGGCCACCCTCAGAGAACTTCATTTACAGAGCCACAAATTACTCATTGTAGAGTCTCCAGAACCCGGCCGGGGCGGGGCGGGGAGGGGAGGGCACATGCCAGGAAAAAAGAAAGCATCTTTCCAAGCAAAGATCTTCGTCCCCTAAAGACCTGTCCTGCCATCCCAGAATAACGCACCGCGGCCTTCAAGGTGCCCCTTCACTATTCGGCTGCAACAGGCCAACGAGGAGCCGAAAGGAGCCTTTGGAGCTGAAACACTAAAGGGAAAGTGAATGGGACTCAGGAAGTGGCAACAGCTGAGCGGCGCCCAACCAGCTACTTCCCTTTCACCAGTAAAATGCAGGGGCGAAGTCTTCACCGGGACTCCCATCTCTTTCCCTCGCGATCCTCTGGCCGATTACCCACCCCGCCGCCACCGCCCCCCGTATATACACACATTCAGAGCAGCTCGACCGCGCCCATTCAAACCGAGGCCACGGCTCCCCG